AATATTTATAATTATTATTTATTTTTAAATTACAAAAAACTAGTACTCATCCTTTCTGTTATTATTTGTGTCCGAGGGTCCATAAGAAGACTAACTAAACTATATAACACATTACCTATGGATACAATAAACATATTGAGTATTGAAAAAATCATTAATATTTTAAAGTTAGTTAATTGCTCGAAATTGGTCATCGGGGCAAACTATATAGTACACCTATATTGTTTGGCCCGATGGTCAAACAATATATAGTACATAATAGTACATATATACAGTAACACCTTTTATACTAACACATTTTGTAATATCCATCAAAAATAAGTAATATTTGGCGGCACATAGATATTCTTTTATATTTTTGGGCAACTTTGTGGAAGTCAATGAGGAAGTTTTTAAAAAAAATATATTAGTTCCCGAAATAAAGTAGATGTTGCTACGGTACTTTCTTGATTTCTCCATAACAACCCTTCCGGTTTTCTTTCATGTATAAAAGTAAATTAATTTTCAAAACTCAATAAACAACTCGTATTCTATTTGTACTTTATCATATTTGTATTGAAAAATAAGTTTCGAACTTTGCAAATTTCAGTTTTTTGATATTTTATGAACGGAAATGTCTTTGGGCCGTTCGTTTTTTGCAACAATCAACTTTTGCTAGAGTCGCCATCTAGTGAACTGCTTTTTAGTGCTTTCTTTTTTTCTTAAAATACTTCCTCATTATATCATTTATAAAAACACAACACACAGAAAAGTAAACCTATATGTAAAATGGAATATTGAAATTATATTATTATTTATTAGACACTTTGATACTATTTGATATAAACCAAACGAATTCGTATATCGCGAATTTCCTGACTTTTTTCCCCTATAATTTAGCAATAAGTTAAGAAGATTCTTCAATATTCCATTGAAGATAATATGTTCCATTTTCGGTGATTTTGCTCTATTAATATTATGCATTGAATAATTTAGTAGGAATATGTAGTTATTTTTTAATATGAACTTTTATCAATCCTTAACAATTTAAATAAACGCAATACCGAGTGCGCTAGCGCATGCATTAATAAATTAATTTCGGTCCAATTGAGTGCAACACGTCCTGGCTAATTGCAATTGCATCATGATGTCATGTGCAGATGGTACGACAATTGTATGGTACTTATCACATATACAATTTATGTACACCGTGGGACAACGCGGAATTAATTATTAATTATGTAATTATTTAACCACTATTAAACGAAATAACTCAAACAAATTTTTGGATTTCTTTCCGGTCGATGACATATTTTTATGGTGGGGAAAAAAAATCACAATATGCCTCAATAACTAAGGTTGGACACAAAGTACTAGGAGAACAGACGAGCACAAGAGGAAGCACAAATAGATGTGAGACTGAGCCCATCCTGCCCGACAACGGGCTAATGGCTGTCGCGTGGCCCAAGCAACCGTAACACAAATCCAATTAACACCCACTTTTATGTGGCATATGATTAAATAACGAGAAGCTTTCTTTATTTAAAACTTATTTGAAACTCAAACTAAATAAGAAAGAATTTGTGTAGAAAACTTTTACTCAAATCTAACTCGGCTACCTTAACAAAAAAAAAGTTTAGAAAAGTTTCATATTAGGTACATGCATTTTATATTACAAACTGGAAGTAGACTAAAGTATATATTAAAATACTTGTAAATTTTCTTAAAACCAAGACATTCCCTTTCCTTTTTATTAAAATTAATTATTTTTACTATAATCAATAGTTTACGAAGGAATTTTTCCAACATTACGCTACTAGATTTAACTAAGATAAATTAATAGTCCAGCCTAACCTGCGGTTGCCTGAAAGAAATTCCTCTTTAGTGATAAGGCCACCGATTATACCATTACATTCTACAAATATGTCATGTTAATTAATGTTTACGGTGTACAATAAAGTATTATTCATTCATCTATTCGTAAAAAAATATTAAACAAATATGATATAACCAGTATGTATATGTAAAAACTAGCCAAGACAAATTTCCAGTTTCAAGTTGGTACCCCTGTCCCGCGCTGGAATACGCTACCTCCTGTAGCTCAGCTAATGTTTTATATGAATTAATCGGTCGGTCCAGGCCTGATGAGGCGACTAGACGTTCCGACAGACAGTCACGTGCGATGCAAATGGAATCGTTCTCACTAATTCCCACTAATATAGTCCGGTCTGGTCTAACTCGCCCACTGTCTGAGACCATATTGAACGAAATGGGACAATTGGGCTATGGTTTTTGAGCAAAATTATTTACATAAAAAAGCCTCAGTAAAATATAATCCATGCTGTTACAAACACCATTGAAGTCCAATAATAACAGACGTATTAGCAAGGGCTAATCATGGGATGGGTGGCCAAAATGTATCATCTCTAGTTCCTCCGTGCTTTAAAAGGCACCGACTGCTTAAGTCGGTCCCGGCTGCATCTGCAACGGTGCACAAATCCGCACTGGACCCATGGAATTCATCCATAGAGAAACCTATGCCCCACCAGTTAGACTCTTTAGCACTCACCATTCTAGCTTATGTTCCGAAATTCATGAATTTCATCTTTGGTTTTTTATTTTTCGTGCTTCGTCCTCGAGATGATTGTAATATAATAATACATAGTGATTCTATTAAAAATTTAAGCAATTAAAATAAAAAATGACTAGAATTTTTAAAGTTTCAAACCATCATCGTGAAAAAAATATATCTAAATCACTACTCCGCCGCAGTGTCGTTAACAGAGCGAATTTAAGAAATAGTTCTTTAAATTTTATTTGTGAATTTTGTTTGTACAATGTGTGTGGTTCAAGAACCGGTGACCGTTCACTGGACCCTCAGTGCTACCATCACCAGCCGCCCACCACGACGCCACCGACGACGACGCCGTCAAACTACTAGCCATCATCTCCTCCGCCATAAACATCCAAATTGAGTGTGCGCAGTTAGTTATCAGTCGAGAAAGACAGATGACAAGGCTTTAGGTGCAGACAAGGTACGATCACGAAAATGTATCATTAAAATTGTTCGAGTTACCTTTAACAATAATTGTCTATTTCTATGAAGTAATCTGTGAAATAATTATATTATTTAGTTTGTTTAATAACAAAATCTATGTAATCAGGAAACTGCTCGCCTGTAGGCTGCAATAAAAACGCCATTAAAACGTACATTAATTATTGCGGTCGTGAATTAACATGCGCGATTCGGACAGACACATTCCACTAATTATGACAAACAACTATTAAAACAACTGCAAAATGTAGTAGCCAATGTTTAATCGTGACTTTGTCATTAATAATTATTGCGAGTCATGAATTTGAAATAATACGTAAACATAAGACAACATCACTTAAATTGATCAGCTCCGTTACTCTCTAACGCAATCGCGATCGATAGACATTGAAATTGTGCTGCTCTGTACTCTTGATTGATTCACTAGCATACCTTGGCGTTAGTGTACCCAATCAAGAGTACGAAACGGCACAATTGACATTGCAATCGGTCGCGAATACGTTCGGGAGTAAGAGGGCTGAGCTCAAATTTCTAGCCGAAACCTTCTGTGTTGTGGTAATCTGAAACAGCGAAAGTGCCGCAGTACTTGAGACGGGTTCGGTGCTTAGGTGTTGGCAATAAATGAAACAACTGACTAGGCTTGATTAGTAGGTATATTTATGGTGTAAACAAAAATTGTGATAACAAAAAATAATATCTATTAAATAGTATGTATTACTAAAATTACTTATAAAACAATTACATATCTCGTTTTTTGGGTTTTCTTTAATATATAACTTCTTAATACATTAAACGTGTTTTTAAGATATATACCTACTCTTTAAACATACTTTTTTCTAAACAATCTCATGTTATGTAGGTACTGTTAGAAGAATTGTCATGAACTGACATTCAGAAAGAGCATATCACGTTACTCAAATTTCAAATGTCGAAAAGTAAATAATAAAAGAGACAAAAATTTTGGATGCGGGAACCATAAATCGGTGTGGTACGACGCACCGTTACACACTTAGACCCGATATAATGCAGTAATGTTTTATTTTACCGGATAATTACCTGCCTGCTATTACCTCTCCCGAGAGACGTCAAAGAGGAAAAATACTTTAAGCAATTCAATTTAAAACTTCAAAACTGTGATTTTGTGTAATAAAATTACTAAAAAATAAAAATAAGAAAAAAGAGCAAATACTTGCGAATTCATAAAACTTTCAGGTTTTTGTCACCTGTTTTTGTTAGGTTTCTACGATATAAGTTGATTAACTAAATATGGACGACTATGATAGAAAATTAAACTATCTAGGAAATTTTACTTTGTTTCTTATTCTATACTAATATTATAAAGAGGTAAACTTTCTTACTTTGAAATTGAATTAATTAATATCTATCTCAATCATAAATTAACTTGTTCGTTACGCTTAAGATTTATAAGATCCGTTCATTTATAAATATACTCACCGATAAATAAGGCAAGCTTTAATTACAAAAGACATCCCCACACAAAATTACGCGTAATTCGTTCGGAAATGGCGGACGGCAACAGACATTATCGGCGCGGTTCGAATTTCAAATTACGCGCCAGTGTCGGATGGCGCCCTCCGACCGTCGCTATAGTAACGCACAGGTGTCGTATTGATCTTATTGATACTCCTGCGGTGTTATGCTTGCCTGGTATATTGTAAAGTATTTTTTAATTTTTGCAAATTTGCACACTCAGTTTTTATTCGCACAAATTATTTAAAAAAAGAACAAATATCACCTTTTAGTTATTTTATGTCATGAAAAACTTTAAAAATATGCATCTAGTAAATTACAAAACACAATGCATATTTAAGTCGAAATTTTTTTTAATATAAAACTGTTAATTAAAAACAATGTCTATGAGTAAATTATCTTTCAACTCATTTATCTAATCGTCTTCACTTACAAACGATGGATTTTTATTTTTCGATAACCAGTTAGTTAATAGCGCGAGTCAAGTAGCACATGTTATGTAATCAGTAGCTAACCCTACTTTTTATAGTTTTCCCAATATAAACTGTGACTCATATATGTTAAAGAACGTTTTACTGTGATATAAAATAATAAAAAAAAAAAAAATTGTAATATGGAGAAGTTATTCAACTACAAATACTTGGATAAAAACCATCTCAAAGGTTTTCATACTTACAAGGTAATATTCATAATAAATAATAGTCTAAGAATAGATAGATCTTATCAGCTGTGGACTGAGATTGTAAGTGGGAAAGACTCTCTCTCTTGCTACATAGTCAGAACAAGGATAGAAACAACTTATAAATTTAAATATAGAAACGATATATAGACAGATTAGATAACACAAAATAATATATGAATTACGAACGCGCTTGGTAATTGGGAAGTTTCCTTACATATCATGTTATCCTATTAATTCTGTCCATTTTCTTTCATTCATTTCTACCTTAATAAAAAAGACCTTCACTTTATTGTGCAAAATAATGCAACTTATCAATTTATAAATTTGTGTCAAAATGTATGTTTACGAAATAAACTCCAAAATTACCGATCCAATTATTTATTTCATCTATTTTGTTTTCACAATTCTATACTGAAAAAAAATCCCATCTCAAAATGACAGGGACACTGGATTTTTAAGCATTTTTTATTAAGAATACTGATCCAAAATTTAATCAAAATTCATGTCTCTATAATGGTCTAATTCAGAAGTTAGCATAGTTTTTATCATAAAAAATGAGTGCGTGAATGGGTTAGCTAGTCTATATTAATATTATAAACAGAAAAATTTGATTGTTAGTTTGCATCGAATAAGCTACGAAACAACTGGATCGATTTTTAATAATCTTTTACCTTCGGGCAGCTACATCAATCAGGATTAACATAGGTTATACGCGTGTGAAGTCGCGGGAAAACAGCTTGTATATTATAAAACCGAATGAATCGTTTGTCAATACAGTACAATATTAGTAATTCTATTCACATTGTCGGCGGGAACTCTTTCATCACTAAATATCAGTGGTAAGGACTTGTATTGACGATGCTTATTAAAATACTGGTTATTGGGTATTAAATTATTGAATTGACGTATCATACTTTATTGCATTTTATTTTTACAGTATAGTGCAATAGATACAAGTCCTCTCAGTAATTATGTGATGCACCCTTTGTGGAATGCCAGTGTAAAGGTACGTTTGTTAGGAACCAGATTAAAACAAATTTTACTAATTTATCAAATGTGGAGGTAGAGTACTGATTGCGGAAAGATGTTATCTTGTGGTATGTTTTTCTTTTGTTGCGTTTATTATAAGATCGTAATATTCGTTTTCAAAATCTTCGAGATTCTTACATCTCAATACGTGTATTAATTAAGAGTATAAAACAAAGGGGTCCGTACGATTACACAATTAATGTTATACTTAGATTTATTATATTTGACTAACTTTTGGACTCTAATTAATGCAAATTACGCTATTATATGTCTTTCCGCTGGACATCTTGGATAAAAATAAGCGTCTTATAAAAAAAGAAAATTGATTTATTATTGGCGGAATAATGACCTTCCTTATTTGAGATCAGTTAAAATTACATGACTTCTTTCAATGATACTTCTCTGTATGAAATAAAACAGGGAGAAATAAGCAGCCTTTCCGAGTGTCCTCCCGGTTCTTGTCAGTACAACTAATGGCGTAGCTTTCGATATTCACAAGTACTTCACAGCCTACTTACACTGAATAAATGATATAGAATCGGTATTATGCGCTCCTCATTTTTAGCGGAAGTCATCAAATTCTCCAAATTTATATTTCATGAAATTGTTTTAGAAAATTTTGTCTAATAATCTATACTTTTATTGTAAAGATTTAAAGTTTCTAACTTTGTTTTTTAGGGGGTGATCTTTGGATATACTAATCCGATTATGATAATTCTTTTATTTACAAGAAACTTCATCATATGCAGGAGACATAGGATACATTTTACGCTAACAAAGCCTTGGAAAAATAGGTTATCGCTATCGCTAAGTTCTAATTGTTTTTCCAAATTTCAGCTTCTACCGAAATGGATAGCTCCTAACCTTCTCACGTTTGCTGGGTTCCTATTGATGGTAGCATCAGTGGTTCTCTTGGGACTGTATGATTATGGGTGTTATGGTCCATTGCGGGATAACGTACAAGTCGTACCTGATTGGGTGTTTACTGTATGCGCAGTATTCATCTTCGTGGCATACAATTTAGGTCAGTGTTAATTATTCTATTCAGTCACCGTCTTATTATAAACGAGAACTAAAGTTAGTATTTGGTTTAATCCATTGGCAGCGACTGACGACCTCCGTAGCCAAGTGGTTCGCATGTCGGTTTCAAGGTGTCGCCATCTCTGAGGTCCCGGGTGCGATTACTGGTCGGATCAATGTAGAAAATAAACTTTTCTATATGGTCTGGCTGTAGTGGGACAATCGTTGTCTCAAATACTGCGGGCATAAATCGGGCGCTTTAGCTACTCATCTTGGAATATGAACAATGTAAGTGATGTTGTTTAATACATATGTATTTATAAAAAAGAAAGCAAATTGACAATAACATAAAGGAAAACGTCATGTTGAGACGTTTTGACTAATTGCGGTCTGTTAATGGTTTAAATCTGGTACTAAAGTTAGTTCTCGTTTTATTATAATAAGCTCTAAAGCTTACATTGTTTTAATTTCCTAAACTCAAATAAAACCTTCTTTAATATAAATGAATTATCAATGGGTGCAAACTTTAAAGTATTATTGAGCTAGCATTTACCATAAACGTTCAAAATAGTAGAATCGTTTTTCTTAGGAATCTTTTAGTGTAATAAAATATTCTATTGTTTATTCAGGATATGAATTACGAGTACTAGAATATCGAATGTCCTTAAAAATGTTCTAGTCGTTATTACACATTATAAGGGTAGGTACATGTCTGATGGAAGATGAATCAATGAATGATCAGAAAAATATATAATTACTAGCTGTACACCCATCCTATGGCCAACTCTTGCGCGAATTGCTTAAGAACCGTATCGTAGAGGAAAATACTTTTATGTTCAATACTGATTTGATTTGCACTGAATGATTTGCCGTGCGAAAAATTGATTTATTTTATAGATGGTATGGACGGTAAGCAAGCTCGACGTATAGGCGTGTCGGGACCACTAGGAGAAATGTTTGATCACGGTCTGGACTCTTACGTGGTGTTTTTCATACCTTACGCCCTCATGACTGTCTTTGGCAGGGACAACGAGTATACTGTCAGCGTGTTCCGGTAAGAATTAATAAAATTAAATACTACTTGGTAGCTGTAAATGACTGGGCATGCCTTCCTACGTCGGTGTAACGTTCTTCTGAGGCATGGAAGAGCTAGAGGTGTTACATTTTTAGGTCACCCATTCCTATATACCTTTCCAAATGTTGCTAACCACTAAATCACAGACTCGCACTAACCACTGCTCCATCGAGCTTAAAATATATGTATTTATTTAATATAATTTTTCCAGAGGTTTCATATTAATAATGAGCGTGTCTCTAAATTTCTACGTCAGTCATTGTGAAAAATATAACACTGGCACCTTATATCTTCCATGGGGATATGATATCAGCATGTGGGTAAGAAAATTGTGATAAATCCATAGTAAAAATAAAAAAACAAGAATAAAAATATTTAATATGATTTCCCACTTGCAGGTTTCTTCTCTCCTATTCCTGGTACCTGGACTGTATGGGCCCAGGGTATACCATATATATTTGTTCGGATACAAGTTTGTGAACGTACTCGAGGTTGTTGTTCATGCGACGGGACTCTTCACTACTCTACCAATAGCTTTCTACAATGTTTATATGTAAGTATCAACATGGAGAAGTAAGTAACGCTCACGCCATAATATAAAGCTTTTTACTGAACATGATAACACTCTGGCTTGTAAAGAGAAATATCTGTTGACGTACTATCGAAGAAAAAGTACCTGTTGTAAGCTGTTTTCCTGCGACTACACCTGCGTAAGTTATAGTTCATTTTCTAAATCGATCTAGTAGTTTAGCCTATTCGACGCATACAAACAATCAAATCTTTCTTCTTTATAATACTAGTATAGAGGTAAATAATGTTACTTCTTTTTTAATTATTTATTAAAGTATCAATATTAAAATTAGAAAACATAATAAAAACCCAGTGTTACTTAATTCTCAGGGCGAAAAAGAACAATACTATCATATACAAATCAATACTAGATATGGTACGCCCCGTATGGAGTATGCTCATCATGAATGCTACTATTCTGGTATGGGTGATCAAATCCCCTAATAATATTCTCGAATATGACCCGAAGGCTTTTATTTTGTTATATGGAACGCACTTCAGTAATATTGCAGTAAGTATTTAAAAATAATGCGCTTATATACGCATATTGCAAGATAAGTAAGGAAAGCTCTTATGTCATTAAATTCCAAATCAACGAAGGCGCCACAGCATACAGAACTAAGTCAATATAGAAAAGAAAATTTTCGATATTGATGGGCAACGACTCTAAGATATCAGAGATGGGCATACTATAGAACTTTTGAATAGTAATAATATAAAAAAAAAAAACTGAAAGAAAGGTTTATCGTTTTCGTTTTGTCAAAAAACGTCATGATTTCTTATTTTCCCTCTTTTTTCGACAGTGCCGTCTAATAGTAGCAGAAATGAGTAAGCAAAAGTGTGATATCGTCACCTGGATGTGCTGGCCTCTACGCGCAGCTGTTGCGATCTCACTCTTCTTTCCGCACATAGAAATTATCGTATTTTACTGCACATTTTTCTTCAGTCTAGCTGCACATCTACATTATGGAGTTTGTGTGGTGATTATAACATTTTTATACTATTCCTTTAATCTAAAACAATTTAAACATAAATTTTTTTTTTACTTTTTGACATTTCTCGCATATTTGGTGTCAAAATTGTACTAAGCACTATATTACAATATGTAATTAATGGGAAGCATTAACAGTAACCAGTCCTTATTAGCAAATATTATTATTAATTCATTTCTTACAAAACAAGTAATAAAATAAAAAAGAAAAACTATAGTTAAATTTCGTTGATTTAAAAAATATCAAGTTATGTTGGAGCTGCAACCATAAGAACCATACCAAGCGAGCGAAGCGAGCACGCCGTCATAGTGGTCAACAAGGTGCCAGCAAAAATATTGGTTTCCATATGAATTTTTAAATAACTTAGAATTACTATTAATGAACCGAACGAATTGAGGGGTAAATTAAATTACTAGAAACAAATATTGAATAGATTTTGATAACTGATACTGATAAAATGTATGATACGAGACAAGGGAGAACATGATTATTGTTCAGCCTTAGATATAACTCTTAAGGAACTCAATAATTTGTTAGCCCAAATAAACAATACATTACAATACACACAGCACAATTAATGATCGTTAATATTTTTTATACTCTATAAACAGGGTTGCCAACCCTAGGGCTAGGGCATGAAGTTGGTAACCCAGAACAATTCTGTTATTAACAAGACATAGTAATTCTTAAGAACTAAAAGTCGAAAATACATGACCCTATTAAGACGCTTTAAAACACATGACCGTGTATAAGAAACCCAATACGATACTTAAAAATCAGGACTCTATAAAAAAAACTATCTAGGTTATCCGAAAACACTATCAAAAACAGGACGTTTTGGGAAAATAGGACTACTTAGTTGGCAATTCTATGATAAGTAGTAAAGCAATTATGGGGAAATGTATCAACTAACCTTAACGTGTGACATTATTAGCAGTGAAGATGTTCTGATTATAGGATGTATGAATTTCTACTATCTATTTACAAAATTTTTAATATTGGATTTTTTTTTTCAGGTGCGGCAAATGTGTGATCATTTTAATATACAATGTTTCACGGTTCCAAAGAGTAAAAGGCGATAACTGATGTTTTATTTTATAACTGTAATTGTTATCATAAAATTTTCTATTACAATACTTTTGCCAGTTGTTATTAGTACATAATCCCGACATCCTTGCAATAGTCTCGTAAAACAATAAATAAAACAAATTGTATCATTTTCTTAAAGATAGAATCAAAGTAGACATTACAATGTTTAATAATAATTAAAAGATGATCTAATAAAATATTTTACAACAATAACCTGATTCCAGAACAGTCCTGCTCATCAGGTAGGTACTAAGCGAAAATTCGACACCACAACAGAATCTAATTCACAAAATAATACGTAATATAACACTGGATAGCGAAAAAATGAGCAATCCAACGAAAAGCTACGGAGCGTTCGCGATACGTGCGAGAAGGACCGCTATAATCACTCAGTTGGATACCCAGCTCCGTCTTTAAATTATACGTTCTCATAGCCTTGTAGCGTTCACCCTCTCTCAAAAAAGGTTTGATGTCCGCTCATGACATAATAGAAAATCACCTTTATATTCAAAGCGATAATGCTTCAAAAGGTGTGAAGTAAATGGGAGTTCAGACTGTTTGGTAATCAAACGTAATTCAGTAATGGGGGGTGCACGATATGGACACCGAAGTCAGGGTTTAGAATTTCAGTACAGCTTCGGATAGCTACGAAGCGCAGCTTTGTTAGTTGTCCAATTGTTTATCAATATATATCTTTTTTTAAATTTCTCCCGCGTTTCTGTATGGCACGTAAAAATACGAAACCGGAAACATCTTTGTAGAACGTTTGATTATTCATATTTTGAATTAAGAACAGTGACTGACATTAGTGATGTGCTTTTCTTCTTAATTTTGTGTTATTGAAAAGGCGTTATTTAAAAATAAGGTGTCATAATTGGAGAATTAAAAAAAAAAATATTGAAAATTAGGTAAGTGAGGTGTATGAGAATGAAAAATTAACAATTTAATGGCGAATTTTGTGGTGGTGTGGAAATTAAACCTTGAGCATGACGGTTCATTTTAAAAAGCATGTTTTGGTTAATGTCTTCTGTGTTAGGTTTTTTCTAATGAAAAACTATAATGTACGATGAAGTGGAACCGCAAATGCAGGTAAATATTTACTTAATTAATAGAACTGTACTTACATGAGTTTTCACTCTACAAAAATGCATAGATATTTATCATGCTAATACAACACGTCTAATTCATAAAATCGATATTTTGCTAGGAAAAGTTTTAATAATATCAAAAACTGTTATTGAAATTATACTAAAACAATATAAACACTATAAACTAACTATAATTAATAGATATTTCCATAAAATATAAAAATTAATCATATAAAAATCAACATTTTTTTTTTTTGGTAATACCAATTGTAAGTTTTTACAGATTATGCAAATTTAATAGATTTAGGTCTATATTTAATTTCAATCGACGAACAAATTGTAGCAATAGTAATTTTAACATAAAACAGTCGGTAATCGATTTCTGTTCATTTAAATGATATTTTAGATCATTTTATTAATTCAGAGTGTTTTAAAATCGTTTCTTCTGACGATCTTGTTGTTGATATAAAAATGTCTATTCTAACTTTAACGGTTATTTTTCCAAACGTTAAATATATATTATGAAGCAGTTAATTAGTTAATTATTATTTATCTAATTTCAAAATGTTATCGTTTAACTATTTTAGTTCCAAAAGTATGAATACTTATTTGTTTGTACGTTAATCGCTCTTCTCAGCTAATTGAAAATGACGACAATAATTAACACGATTTTCAATTAGATCAATATATAAAAAAAAAACAAATTTCTCTATATGTCTAACTATTTATTTTGCATATATGAAAATGTGCCAGTACCTTACTAATATTATAAAGGCAAAGTTTGTAAGTTTGGATATTTGTTACTACTTCACGTAAAAACTACTGAGCAGATTTTGATAGAATTTGGTATGGGAATAATTCAAAGTCTGGATTAAGATATAGACGACTTTTATCCCACAAAACAGTTCTCTATGGGATCACGCTGGCGAAGGCGGAAAACTAGTTTAATACTTATATATGATAAAAATATTGTTGTTCCCCATTATGGCTATGAGTATGACAAAACCAGTATGGTATAATTTTCTCAATTACATCTTATTTAGCTGATATTTCTTTATACAAAACCAATTGAAAGTTTACGATTTTGGTGTACGTGAATTCTTTTAAAATTCAATTTTGTATTAAAATTAGTCAAGTTCCTTTTTAATACCAGGACCTTCAAAAACCGTAGCTTTTTAGGAGGTATTAATTCACTGTTATTTCATTTACTTTGTAAACTTATATTATAAAGAGGAATAATTTAACTGTTTGTTTATTTGCATTGAAAAAGCTCCGAACTACAGGACTGATTTCAAAATGTCTTTCACCTATTATAAGCGGGTGATAGATTTTGGTAGAATATATATTCTACTAAAATCTAAAATACCAACTGTTTTTAAGTAGCTACATTACTTTAGTTACTTAAAATTCAATTGAATTTAAGAACTATATTTTCAAAAAGACATAACACTAAATATATGTACATACCTACTCTTATAAAATATTTAAGTGGGTGTTGAGTATTATTGTTGTTTTTTTTAAATATAGACTACCTATCTACTTTATAAATATGAAACAAAATCCTCCGCATCTTGAACGCCATAAACTCAAAAATTACTCGACAAATATTCTGATTTTCACTGATTGTTTGACTAAATTATGAAGTAGGCTTATATATAAAATTTATTAATATTTTGTGTAAATTGATTGAAGCGTGACGAGTTTTCTTGAAGACTAGCGGTTTTCCCGCAATTTTGTCCACGCAAAATATTATCCGCGTATGATAAAGCTTCCCGTAGGTGAATAAAAGACAAAATTGGTCCACTAGTTTCGGAGCCTAGTCGATTCAACCAACAATCAATCAAATTTTTCATATAGATATAAGTATTTATATGTATAGTCAATATTTTGTATTACTTTTGAATTTACTATACATTAACACCAATTTGGCTAATAGTTCGCTATTTACTATTTTATAGGCAAAAATATTAAATAAATATTACATCTACATATATACATCTGAAAAATATGCCAACTGAAAGCTCACTAATACGAGCAAATACGGTATAAACTGACAGAAAAGGAGTCTCGTTTCGTCGGACGGGGAACGTCAGATCTTGTACACCCGACGGATATATCGTATAAATGCATAATTTCGTGAGATTAGTATCGACCCTTAATTGTACTAGTGCGAAATATAGGACGTAATATATATATAAAATAATGCTCCTATAAAAAATTGGAGATTGATCAAGATACTGGGTGTGACAAAGAAGTTTCTTAATTTTAACCTAAAATCAAGGTTTATTTATCAAAAACCTAAAATTGTTGATAAGTTGAGAACAAATGTTTAATGAAATGAATCAAATTTATTAGTTCTGTCTTTAATTTACTGAAAAAATAATAAATAACATTAAATTATAACAAAAGTCGGACCTTTGTTTTTGATATCGATAATATCATCAATAAAAAATCATGTTTTCTCAGATCTATTATAAAATTATATATTAGTTATTTAGTGGATGACTAAATAAAGTTTTGATCAAAATCTTGATCGAATGATTTTATGGTCATCCTGCGACTTAAAACTTTTATAGACTTTTATTTATTCCAATGGGACTTTCAGTTCAAATAAAAGAGACACAAGTAAACAACCTACGCCTTTTTTCTCCTACGATCTTCATGTTCTAATGGTTTACGGTTGATACTACCCCCATATCTGAGGTCCCGGATGCGATTCCCGATCATGTACAAAATATATTTTCGACTCTGGGTGTTGTGGCAATTTTGTTATATCAAATTTCTATAACACAAAAACTTTAGCTACTTATTTTGAAATCAGATCAATTTAAGTATGTTTTCTTATTAGATTAATATTAAAAAAACATTTAAAAAAAAGTATATCAGAAAACCGCCTTATATATTATAGACACATTAAAAGGAAGAACGATAACCACGTCGTGAACATAGCGGTAAACGTGCCAGAGCAGTATAAAAGCAA